ACTTCAGCAAGGGATCAGAAGTCATTTGTGGAGTTGTTGGATGTGTTCATAATTGGTTTACCTCGACCTGCATTTTAAGAACACATAGGTCATCTTAAGATAAAATTATGCTGTCAGCTGGTGAAACTGATACTTCTTTCACTTGATGAACATGTAGTGTACATGTTCTTGACCTTTTCAGTGTGTTTGTGTCTTTGTGGGTATGTGTGAGTGTGTGTGCATATGTCCTTTATTAAAGGGATAACAACTCATCATATGAGATCTATATTTCACAATATAAATACAATGTAAACAACTCATAGAAATATAATATATTCTATTTTACCACAAAAACTACAGTTATAGCAATAAATCTGAAATATGTGCTTGCCATCTGACCATGTGACCTCCATAGTTGGCTATACTCTGTAATAATCTCTTAAGAGATTATTAAAAAAAAACTTTTAAGAAAAAAAAACAGGGACTAACTTTGAATGTAGATATGGATTCGTTAACCATTGGTAAGTATGGGGAAATTGTTGTTTACCCCAGGAAAATTCATTTTTTGGCCAAAATGAACAGTTGTTATCCCTTAAAACAATTTACAGTGTTGGATTGAGAGTCACAGGGTGAATGGAGCTATTGATAACATTTTAGTGATAGTTTTGTTGTATATTGGTTCACATTTTAATTTTTTATTTGTAAAGGTATATGTGGAAACAATTTTAATTTTAGAGTAAAATAAGTAAATAATCAGATGTGGCATATGATACCATGCTGCTGTATTTTAATTTGTATGATTTGGTGATGCATATTACTTCTATTACTTCCATGTGTTATTGAATATGATATATAGTTTTCCTTAAAACATTAAGCTAAAATGGATTAATACATTTATGGGCAATGCCAGAGACACAATCTGGAAATTAGAAATTGTATTTAAAAATCTTGGAATTTGGTGAGAGGTATATTGGTTGGAACTTTAATTTTTGGTCTATGAGTATGTAATGGGATTGTAATTGTTCTATTGTCTATCTGTGGTGTAATTCAGTTGTTCAACAGCTGTCACTGTCTGATTGCACAAGAGCTGCGGGTTGCAGATTAGTATGTTGCATGTTTTCAATAAGTTTTACAGATGTGCCAGTTAAAGTACCAATCTCAAGTTTTCCTTGATGTTATAAAGTTATTATATTATTTAGAAGTATTTGAAGTTCATTTAACTTTTAGAACATTTTTGAAAATGAAATGTCATAATTTTTTCCACAGAAGATTAATTAGTTTCAGTGGTTTCTCATAGGTGTCAGCAGTGCTCTGAAACATCAACAACTTGTGTGTGGTGTCTTCTTCATGACTGGTTGTAGCATCACTTTGGCTTGAATAAGTGTGGTGCTAGAACAGGTGTCAAGTGTGGAATGTTCCCCTTCACAACCTGTGTTCTCTGGCCTTCCAACTACAAATCTTGGTCAGTACTGAAGGTATGAAATGTGTGGCATATAATAGTTTTGCTGTGGCCATTCCTTTTGACTAACATCCCTAATATGATTCCTAGTATTCACTGATTTTGTATTTGCTTAAAAATGAGGGGAAAAACAAGGTAGGGTTTATAAAGTTTGCCTCAAATACTGATGATTAATAATGCAGGGGCGGATCCAGAGATATTTTCTTACAGTCTTCCAAATTATCTTTGTGGATCCATCCTCCATTTTTGACCGTCTTCCGACAGAAAAAGATAGATACCCGTCAATATAAACTTGAAAATCTGACCGTCTTCTGGAAGACCCAGAAGACGGCCTAAATCCGCCCCTGATAATGTACTTGTACTTGTTATAAATCAGAAATCTTTGCAATTTGTAGTGCCTTGAATTTAGGAATTGCTAGCATATTTCATATTCATTAATATTAGTAATAAGTTGACTTTGTAATCTCAGTCATATTTTTATATGAAGAGAAAAAGATACTGGAAAAACTTAAACTAGACTCAACACCAGAGAAGAGAAAGCCACATGAGCATGGCAGGTGCTATGTAATAATTAGCATTATGACTGTGAATGTAATACCTTTTGGGGATGATTTTAAATACAAAAGAAAACCCTTCTGTCAATTTTTCCCACTTAAATATTGAAAAAGAAAACCTTTGCAGTTATTTGGATTAATAGTTAGGTGTTATCTTTATATATGATGCAAACTTGGTGAAAATGGGATTCTGATATTAACACACTGAACTCGTTCTTGTGCAGTTTTATTATTGTTCTGATATTAATCAAGTTTTGCTAACTATTGCTTTATGCAACCTAAAAGAATTGATTTGTTCTGGCTACACCTTTTTATTTACACCCTCTTCTAATAGGATATTGTTCAAGGGTTAAAATGTGAGAGAACTGGCACAGTAGTGCAGCACATTCAAACATTGAAGAGGTAAGAATTGCATATTTAGTAAAGTACACCCAGTCAAAGATTCATGCCACTTGATTTTCCTACCAAAATCAGATAAAGTGGCTTGGTAGCTGTAAGGATCGGGCTTTTTATGTTTACAGTTTATTGATCAACCGATTTTACTCGCTAAACATTAGCTGTGTACATTTTGCTCTGCTTTTGTTCACTGTTGACTTAAGAGAAGTTAATGGTGCCCCCAACTTAGAAGAGATTTAGGCACCAAGGTAAGGTATGGTCATGAAATTTTTTCAATAGATTTTAATCAAATTAGTTTATGTGAAAGTATAAAGGTATACACAAAGTGCACTTACCTGATTTCTTATTTTCCATGAGTGTGAAGAAGCATGCCTTGCTTGTACATGAAATACAAATGACTTATTGGGTGTTCAACATTCTGATGGCACAGTAAACTGTTCAGCAAGAGTATTAAAATCACAAGGCTGGTCAAGTGTTGTTCTCCATAGGGGAAGAGGGGAAGTGAATGTGTGTATGTGTGTGTGTGTGTGCACCTAACAAGGGTTTCACCATTTAATTCCATGCATGAAAATTGAAAAATTTGAAAATTACCATTTTGCATAATTTAAGGTAACTTCTGTTACTTGCATGCATTTCAGTATCATTCTCGCCATAAAAGTCAAATGATATTTGTTTTAGTTGAATTTTAATTGGATATTATATTTTGTTTAAGCATCAGTTAAGTTAATAAAGGTTGTATAGGTTCTTAAGATAAACACATGAATTTGAATATTTCACCAATCTCGATCTAGCTCCCTTGAAAGACCTAGCATGTAATGTATACAAGTCTGTGAAAAGGGGCAAGCTATGTGTTCAAGTGGCCAGTCATTTCCATGGTTAAACCCCTGTTAGGAATATATACACATTTATTTACGCATTATTTTATTTTTCGGGGGATGTGGTATTCCTAGTTTTTAGGTGAGGAACTTCAAAATGGAGTAGCTGTCTTGTTTGCTGGTGTCATTGTAAAGCTTTATTATAGGCCTAGTAAAAAGTAAAATAGTGAATAATTTTTTATCATAGTTAGCCTGACTTACCTTGTATCCCAAGTGCTCCTATTTACTGGAAGTAGATGCATTGTATGTTTCTTGGACTATGAACAGATTAACAGACATGCTGAAAACTTTTCAGAATGGCTGGACATTTGGACCAGCAGTAATGAAAAATTTGCCGGACCGAATGGATTTTTGTCAGACCGAAAATCACCCTATTTGTTTGAGACAGATACTACCAGTACGATTAGGGTAGCTTACTTTGTTTGTGAATGTGATAGTTTTGAAATGGAAGGGAAAAAACGCTTTGGGTTTTATATAATTTTATTAGTGAAGTATGTCGGAAGATGACTGTAAATTCAAAATTGCGGTTCTTAGAACTCTTGTAGGTCCTTTGGACTGACCAAGTCCAATTTTCTACAAGTCCAGACAAATTTTCCCGGTCATGACCGATCGGACCGACAGTTTCAGCATGTCTGGATTAATTGGATTTACCATGATTCAGTTAAAATAATTGTCTAATTTTGTGGGCATTTTGGTTTGTGGACAGGGTCAAGAAACTAGGTCAGTTCGACATGCAAGGTTCGACAGTTATTAAACCTTTGAAAACATAGTTATGGGCTCAGGTTACATAAAGAAGTATGCTGTTAATCTAATTTTTGAATTTTTTCTGCCATGTGGACTATTTGACTGTTTTGTTTAACTACAGGAAACAAGATTGTCATATCATCAAGTTTTCTGTTTATTGTTTCATAACTTGCCATTTGATAAAGTTCATCATGCTATGTTGTGACGGAGAGATTGACAGTATACTTAAGTTTAAAGATGTCAAATCATGTAAGGTTTATTTGTAATAGCCCCTTCACCATGAATGATCTTTAGGAAGGGATCATTTTGTCTTATTTTTGTTTTGGAAAAATTGCTATGTGCTTATTACATCAATGCAAAAATGATGAGAAATAGACTGCGTTCCCATAACCTTATCGTACTAGCAGGATCAATCTGTCTCAGCTGGGATTGACACTAAGGCCCAGTCAATGTAATCAGCTAAATTGTCTGGCACGCCCCCTCACACAGCAACCTAAACAGCATCATGGACCGCAAAGTTTTCCTGACTTTACCCAAGTGCTTTAAGTTACAAGGGAGCATGCCAGACATTTAAACCACTTAAACTGAATGCAATTTAGCGAGGATCCCCAAGAAGATCCAGCTAGTATGATAGGGTTATGGGAACGGGACCATATTAAGATATTTCACTTTTTTTTTAAGTTGAAGCACCTTTAGTAACATTTGTGTCATGTTTGGTGTGAGGTACTTATTGCAAATGTGAACCTTAATGCCCTCAGGGTAACTTCAGTTACATTGTTTTTTTCCTGTAACTTTAAAAATAAGTAAAAGACTTCGGGGGTTGAATGTTTGTATTGAGACGATAGGGTACAGGGATCATTGTTGACACTTCCACTATCATTTCAATAATTGGGTCATTATTTGCTTGGGATGACATTAACTGAAGTGACATTTTCTGTGACAGTGATCATGTAGTTATTTTACTTCACATACATACACACTGTTTTCTTTCAGAGACGTGGTGGTATATCCTTTGAAAGAACAGATCAGAATGCCTTGTACGTACGCATGTTAGGTAAGTGTTTTAAATACTTGTTTTTCTAAGACTAGTTTGGTTTTAAAATTATATTTTAATATGTAATGTAATTGCATTTTTTAATCAAAATACTTCCAAAGATTGAGGACACCGCATTTTGCCAACATGTTTTGAACAATCAGTTTACCAGTGACACAAAGTTGATAAGCCACATTTTCCTGTTTTCCATGTTCAAGGCAGTATGTTGATAAAAATTTTGATTAGAACCATTGAACATGCTCGTATTTTATGAACATTTGTTATTTTTGTAACTGTCTAATTTTACAGTTTTCTTATGAGCCATTTTACATTAAAGTAGATATTCAGCAAGTGTGGATTTCCACAGTGAAGCATATAAACCACTTCTACTAGTTTCTTATACAGCTAAAATAAAGTTGACATGTCAAGCCAAATTAATCTCTCATTTAGACAAAATATAGCTTTGAAACTACACCTCCTTCAAATTGATGGCAAATTGAACTATTTATCTGACCCTCTAGTGCATAAAAGTCTACTAAAAGATGAAGCACTGTGCGCACATTGCATAATCATCACTCTCACTCCCACGTATGGATGTATCTGCATGTGCACTTGCATGCCTAATCAAGAGGGACTGCTGAGGTATATTTACAGCACAGAAAAAAATTTGAAACTTTATGGTGGCATTTGGTCAGGTTTTGTGGCAAAAATTTGACTTAAAATGTATCTTTGAGAAATTAATGTCTCGAAGAAAACTTTGTCTCCTGTTAAACACGGGAGACCTAAATCAGACCCATGTGTACTGAATATCTCTCAGAATACTGTTTCTTGGTCAGTCAATTACCGATATTTAAATAACAAAATATAATTAGCCTCTCTCTGATCTCAGTGCTTAAAATTTTTCTCATGACTGTGTCCAGTTGGATAGTAGTTTGTGTATTCTCATGGGCAGCGCATTTGTAAGTATTCACTGTATATGTCAGGTTTTACTGAAATTAATTTTAATTAACATTTTGTCCAGTGGGTCCATGACATCAGATGGGCTTTCTGCTATGCATTGTAAAAGGTATTTTGTACAGTACTATTGCTGTTCCAAGCACAAGCCCCAGTCAATCTTAAATTTAATAAATAGCAAGTGTCTACTAGAAATCTCAACTATTGGTAGTGATATTATCTCTTGCAATACTGCTGGTCTTTTTAAAAGCTGGCTAGAGTCATCTGTAGTTCTGAGAAACAATATATTTTTGAAATTGGATCTAAATAAGCAGTGTTTTTTAAATGTATTTATGTGACTTTCAGCATGAAAAGAAAAATTTTTATGATGTCAGAATGAGAATTAAAACCCAGTACCATACCAATAATTTTTGTTTTTTTTTTTAATGTAAAATTGTCATCATCTGAACATCAATTGTATACAAGACAACTAAACTGTCCAATGTACAGACATAAAAGCAAAAAAAAAAAAAAAATTTGATGCAATATTATGTAATGCTTAACAGTAAATATCAACACCAAATTTTAAATGTGCACAACAGGTAACACAGATGTTAAGAATATGTAACTATACATAAGGCTTCATGCCGATGAGAATTCAAATTCACACATTGAAAATGCCAGAATGAGAAAAATAAAGAATTCACAATACAAAATTTATAAATTTAAGAAAAATATTATTATTCTAATTTGAGCTGTATGTCAATCCTAAGAATCATTATTGTAAGTTAAAAAATAATAAGTAACAAAGAGCATTTAGTCAATTTTGATGTAATAGTACATAATGATTGTAATAGTACATAATGCATAATCACCAAATTTTAGTTATATACTGTACATAAAATGGACATTCAGAAAATGCACATATAGCCAACCAAAACAGAGATGGTTTTAATCATGGATCAGCTTTCGAGAATAAATGTCAATCTACCTAGAACTTAGGCAGTGCTTCCCCGCTGAGGCAATAAGTTGGTAGTTATTATGGATACTTTTTCAGTGTGAGATTGTGAATGGAAGAAATGATTTATTGTTGAATCCATATTTTGGTTTCCACTCTGTAATATATGAAATACTGTGTATATAATAACACTGAAGGAAATGTGTAGAAAAAAAGATAATTATGCCACCATGGGGAATGTGGTTTGGCCATGACATGTTGATAGCATTTTGATGACCATTGTTAAGCTGTTTTGATCAGCGCTGAGTGATTTGTGGTTGTTTTGATGGGTCTTAAGGAGACTTGGTGAATGAAATCTGCAAAACAGAATCAGAAAGACAACAAGTTGAAAATGAAGAGAGAACTAGAAGTTATTGTGTCTGCTTGGCATGTTACATTAACCTATCTATGACACTTCTATGAGCACAAGGTCAGAAAATCGGCTCTGCTGTATAAATGTATTGATGGTGATATTTTACATATGGAAGCAGGGTGAAGGGGTAGTAGATTATAGAGTATTAATTGCTATTGATTGATCAATAGCTACTAGGCAATTACAAAAGAGTTCAGCAGGTGCTGTGGCACTTGACGAGGAAGGAAAGGTGTGAAAAAGGTAGGAACTAGAGTATGTAGATTTTTGTATAATTTTAGTGAAAATTACCCTCATTGCAGACCTAATGGGTCTCATGCATTTTGCTGAAGAATCATATATTTACAATTCGCTGTGTTGTAGTTCTCCTAAAAATTGGTGACACATACATGCTAGTACCATTTTTTATTTACTGGTGCAATAACAATTTGTATGCATTTTACTTACAAGTTCAACCTTTGTAACTCTGTTGCTAAATGTAAATAAATCGATATACGTGAGGATCATGGGTTTAACTTTTTAGTCATACTATCAAATGTTTGATCTTTTGATCACTTATAATCATATTCCAAATTGATCTCCATATATTACATCATCTGCCCAATAATATCAGTTAAAGCAATAATTGGGAATACATAACTTATATTATATCTTTTTAAATAGTATATTTCATTTTTACATTGGCATTGGAAAAGTCTGGAATTTATTTTTGAAATGTTTAGTAGGTGTTTTGGGTTTAAATGGAATATTGTTCCTAAATTCAGATCTTAAAAAAAAAAAAAAAATTCTCCTTTACAAACTCAGTTCATGCATAGCCCAATGTTATTAGTTTCTGATGGGTGCCTGTGCCCAGGCTAACAAAGAAATGTTCACAGGTGAACTATTATTTTGTCATCTTAGGTTGAAAGTGCCCCATCCAAAGTGCTAGTGCAGCTTAACTTCTTTCTTCAATGACTTCTTTCCCAGCTAACGCACTGTAGTGGGTTAATCGGTTTTATTCTCTGTAAAACCATTATCACAGATGGTGTATGCAACATGATATCCAGGATCAATAGTTTTGTTGCTACTGTGTTAAAGTTTATCATAAGGAATTAAGAAGAACTGTTTCTTGGTATGAGTTTAGAGGACTTTATATATGTGTGGTTTAGTTTCTTTCAATTTGGATAAAGGAATGCATACAACCAGTTCTGTTATCCATGAAAAAAATCCGAATTATTTATATGACTGATTTGATACATTTTCATAGATATTATAATTGGATTCTCTACTGACATTGAATAGCAGATTAATAAAAACATTGGTCATAGTTTTTAATAAAGCAACAGAAAAATGATTCGCAGATAAAAAATAAAAAACACTAGTCCATATGAGTTTCGTTTGCCTTTAGCCTCTTAGTGTGATATACTGTCTAGTTGTACCAATTTCTCTGGATGTACAGATTTTTGCCGTACATTATTTCCTGATGTCAACTAGCAGTGTGTCACCCATGGCAACAAGACAGTTCAGTTGATTTGAAGAGGAAATATTTATTAAGATATATCTGTAACATAATTATATTGCCCATAAGAAAATGTAGTAAGCATCCCTTGTTAAGTCAGGTACCGTCAGATTTCCTTATGCAGAAGATGCCTTGCCATTGCCTGTAACCAGACTTCCACATTATATCTAAAAGTGAATTTGCACAATATTTATATCACTTTTTCTTACCTGTTGATTTTTTTCCATATTAAAGGATACTATTGTATGAAGCAGAGAAGTAACATGGCAAATCATAATTATGCAAATATTACACAAAATGAATGCATCACTAATGTGACTCAAAAGTTCATTTTTTGTGGAATGACCCAGCACATTAACTTAATGAATATTTCTATTTTACAAACCTGCTATTTGAAAATATTTCTTCATCTTGTGACTATCATAATGCTATGAAATTAGATGTTGCAGTAGTTGATAGACTATTTAATCTTGGTTGGCCTGTACTGAATTTTCATTACAAAGACATGTCATGCTGTTTTAGTTGCACCTTGATTTCTTTCATCTCCAGTTGACTTTGATTCTCTAGGTTTAATTACACATTATATATGTCTTTTCACATTATTCATGTTGGCTAGTACCTGTTAAATGTCATCAAATCTGATCGATGAAGTCAGGTACTGTTCTGTGTATATTCTGTGATTTTGATTGGCTGTCATGCGAACTTTTACAGTGAGCAGCGGCATGGAGCTCTACTCCCATCTTGAGAAATTGTAATGTCTGCTACTGTTGCCATCTTGACTCTAAATTGTAATGTATTCATCAATAATAGTGGAGGAACAGGTCATTACCGCACTCTTGACAAATGTTTGATTCAATTGCAACAAGGTGTCTTATCCATTTAGTAGGCTAGATGCTGAGAACCTTGTGTATTTTTCTCATTTCCTTGGCAACCTATATTAGGTTTTATACTGAATTATGAAAGTACAATATATAAGAGCTCATTACATGATGATCAGAAAAAATACAGAGGGTCCTAACATTGTTAGTTGGTGCCTGTCTGTTTGGACATGGATGCAAATGTTCAACCATCAGTTTTGGATTTTTATCCCAAAGTGAAATATTTTAGTCTATTATGCTATGACTGAATGTCATTGGGAGTGGTGACTATCAGGGAAAACATTCCTGAGAGTCTCTTTTTTTTATATAAAGACACTTTGTATGTTAATAAGGCAGGTTCCTTTA